TCTCAGCTGGGCCTCGGAGGTGAGGAGAGTGATGTGACGATGAAGATGTTAGAGTGACATCAGCTGAGCACCATGACACAACAGAGCGAAGAGAGCAGCAGCAGCAGCAGCATCAGCAGCAGCAGCAGCAGCAGCAGCATCAGCAGCAGCAGCAGCAGCAGCAGCAGCAGCAGCAGCAGCAGCAGCAGCAGCAGCAGCAGCAGCAGCAGCAGCAGCAGCAGCAGCAGCAGCAGCAGCAGCAGCAGCAGCAGCAGCAGCAGCAGCAGCAGCAGCAGCAGCAGCAGCAGCAGCAGCAGCAGCAGCAGCAGCAGCAGCAGCAGCAGCAGCAGCAGCAGCAGGGCGGATGACCTGGAGGATAGAGTCGGAGACGCAGGAGGGTTCTTTGTCTTGGATCGCATCAGAAGGAAGGAGAGGAAGAGGCTGGGGGAGAGGCTGAAGCTCAGGAAGGAGGAGGGAGGGCTGGGAGGAGATGTCGAGGTAGTCGATAAGAGCCGTCGTGTTCACTGACTGCTATGATGTCAGATAGCAGTGGAAAGAAACGAAGTTGAGGAGAAGAGAGAGACAAGAAAGTGAAGAGGAGAAGAGGAGATGAGGAGAAGTGGAGGAGACGAGGAGAGGAGCAAGAGGAGCACGAGGATGTAGGGGGAGGAACCTTCCAGTTGTCGGGATCTGCTTCAGCCGTTGGACCCAACAGAATTCTCTGTAAGAGCTCGTCACCATCCTCCCTCCTCCCCTCTCCTCTTGTTGTTCTTCCCCTCCCCTCACCTCGTTGCATCGTAGCTGACGGAAATAGCCCGCGAAGAGACGAAGCTGGTCCGGGCTCTTGCTCACCTGAGACCTAACTGATGAGCGCGACGGGAGGGGAAGGGAGAGAGGAGATAGCAAAAGAGGAGAGCAGAGCAGAGCAGAGCAGAGCAGAGCAGAGCAGAGCAGAGCAGAGCAGAGCAGAGCAGAGCAGAGCAGAGCAGAGCACAGAAGAGCAGAGGAGGGGAGAGGAGAGGAGAGGAGAGGAGAGGAGAGGAGAGGAGGTAAGGGAGAGGAGGGGAGAGGGGAAGGCAAGGGAAGGGCAGGGAGGGGAGGAGATGGGAGGAGAATGGAGGACAATTGACCTCTTCTTGTATGCAATGGAGAACATGGCAAGGAATTAAACCCCACAGATGACTGCAGGCATGTCAGAGGAGGACGAGGAACAAGAAGACGAGAGAAGAGAGAGGAGGAGAGGTGAACACAAGGAAGAGAGAAAAGCGGGAAGAAGAGTCAAGACGAGATGAGGGAAGGAGAGACAAAAAGAGAAGCAGGAGGAGCAGGAGGAGCAGGAGGAGCAGGAGGAGCAGGAGGAGCAGGAGGCACCGGAACAGCACGAGCACTGTCTCTGCTGTGAAGGTACTCCGAGCAGCAGAAACACGTGTCTTCTCACTCGTGCTTGTCCTCCTCCCTCTCTCTGCTTCCCCACCCGTCGGCTTGTCGCCCTGTTGAGTTTCTTCCTCCCCCGCCACCTCTCCAGCTGACGGGACTGAACAGTCGCTCTCCTCCCTCACACAGTGAAGGAGAAGCCGGAGAAGGTCAGGAATGAGCCCAGGGAGCTGCTGCTCGGTCAGCCATGCCACGATTCCTCCTCCTCCTCCTCCTCCTCCTCCTCCTCCGCCTCCTCCTCCGCCTCCTCCTCCTCTGCTGTCATCATTCCCTCGCTCCTCGGAGGTACCTTGGGGCCGAGCTGGGGGATGAGCATGGTGACAGCAGCGAGCTGAGCAGAGCTGTGAGGAGAGAGACAAGGAAAAGAAGCTGAAGGCAAGGTAGAGGTTGTCTGAGGGGGAAGCGGTGGGAAGAGGAGGGAGGAGGGAGGAAGAGGGCGAGGGTAGAATGTGTAGAGGGGAGGCATAAACGGAGAACCTGCGATGAGAAAAATTCCGGGCTTAGCTCAGCGGAAGCGAGTTCTTTGTCCTGCAGCATGAGATGAGCAGAGGAAGGAAAACAAAGAGCGTGGTGAGGGGAGAGGGAGAGAGGAGGGAGAGGAGGGAGAGGAGGAGAGAGAGGGAGAGAGAGAGGAGAGGAGCACCACTGGGAAGGAACGACACAGCAGCAAGCTGTCGATGAGCGTCTTGAAGAGAGGAGTGTCGACGATCTAACGAGAAACAGTCAAGAGCGAGAAGGTGGAGGCAAGGGCAGCAAGAGGAGTAGGCGATAGCACGTGACTTAGCACGTGACTTGCCTCGTGTGCTCGAGGACACTGAGTGTTGCAGAAGAGGAGGAGGAGGCGGAGAGCGTAGAGCTGCTCATGCTCCAGATCTCGCTCAAGGGCCGAGGAGGACGTGGAGGCGACTTCCAGCTCTGCTGACCTTTCTGCTGAGGCCTCGTCGACGTCTAGGAGGAGGAGGATCAAGAGGCAGCAACAGGAATGCGAGAGGAGCATCTCAAACAAGGTCGTCACTCCCTACCTGTGGAGAGTCGGAGAAGTATCTGTTCGAAGAGAGGAAGAGGATTGTTCATCGCCTGCTCATACTATTACAGGTCTTCTCTACCTTTCCCCCGCTCCCTTCTCCTGCTCCTGCCCCTGCCCCTGCCCCTTCTCCTGCCCCTGCTCCTCACAGAGGGAGAAGAAGGTGAGGGGAGAAAGCTTCCCCTCATCCTCCCCCTCCTCCACCATCTCTCCCTCTCCCTCTCCCTCTCCCTCTCCCTCTCCCTCTCCCTCTCCCTCTCCCTCTCCCTCTCCCTCTCCCTCGTTCAACCCTCTCCCTTCCCCTTCCCTTACTCACATTTTGCACGACAGCCTGAGCAAGCAGGTCGCTCCGTGCTCGAAAACTGAAAGAGGAGAAGCAGTCAAGAGTGAAACAAACATGTATTGTGAGATGACAGAAACAGGAATGGATATCAATCAGTCCCATGTAGAAAACAAACTTACGATGTCTTGAGAAGAACATTCCTATATGGAACAAGTCAAATGTAAAAGAAAATCACAACGATCTGGTTCTTGTCGTCATTATCATCCCAATAATCCATTCTATCTTCCTCCTCTCCCTCTTCTCCTCTTTTCCTCCTCGCACCTGAAATCTTCATCGTATAGGGCGAGAGCCTTGAGGAACCTAGACAACCTTTCAGCTTCTCCTCCTTCCCGCTCCGATCTTCCCTCTTGTCATATACTCGTTTTCTCCTCCTCCCCTCCCTTCTATCTCCCTCCTAACACCCCTCGTGTTCCTGCCCGTCCTCCTGCTCACTTGAGGAGAGAATCTGTGAGGTCCATGCGACGACCGACATCAACCTGGCGGGATCATCAGCAACATCACCACAGGTGCGGTCAGGTGCGATCCTACCTGGAGGGCTCCAAGGCGGATGGCGCAGGAAGCGAAGGGGAGGAGAGGAGAGAGGTTGGCGGATGAGTTGGCGATCTTCTGACCAGCCTTGGTGAGGTACCGCACTAGATAATGCAGCAGGTGAAACCTGATCGCAACGTCAAGAGCGCAACACAAGGGGAAGCAACACAAGCCAACAGGATCGAGAGCTTCGTGCTTGAGAGCTCCTCCTCCCACTCCCTGCCGCCTTCAACAAGACCCCGCAGGTTATCGTACAAGTACACCAGCATGATGGTCACTTGCTCTTCTACCTCTCTGGGCTTGCTGTGACTAGGTGAAAGGCAGCAAAAGGAGGAACCTGTGCCCAAGAAGCCCATCGACCTCTCCCTCAGCCATCTTGATGTCTCCTTCCGCTCGCGAGTTGATCGCCTGTATGACTGATCGGGCTGCTCTTGAGCCATCGTCCGGCATGGCAGCCGATGCTCTACGCCGGATCAATCGATCACCTGCGATCTCACAGTCATACCGAAATCCACCCATCCCTCCCTCCATCCATCCATCCCCTCCCCTCCTTTGATTCCATTTCCTCTCCCTCCTCGCCATCTCCCTCCCTACTCTCCTCGCCATCTCCCTCCTTTTTATCTTCTGCCAGTAAATCCTATATCTCCCTCCCTACTCTCCTCGCTCCTCCATTTCACAATTTTTGGCCGTTTTGAACGGTTACAGTGAGAGAGCCTGCCTCAGAGAACAAAGCCAGAACATCACAACCAACGGCAGGCCCAATGGAAGAATCAACTGCAAGCGCCGCGATGGAGAAGGAGGAGGGAGAGGGAGAGAAGAAGGGAGAGGAGGAGGAGGAGGGAGAGAAGAAGGGAGAGGAGGAGGAGGAGGGAGAGAAGAAGGGAGAGGAGGAGGAGGAGGGAGAGGAGAAGGGAGAGGAGAAGGAGGAGGACGCACAGAAGAAGGGAGAGGAGGAGGAGGAGGACGCAGAGAAGAAGGGAGAGGAGGAGGAGGAGGCAGAGAAGAAGGGAGAAGCGCAGGAGGAGGAAGCAAAGAAGGAGGAGGTGGAGAAGCAAGAGGCGGGAGTAGAGGAGCAACAGGAGGAGGCACAGCAGGAAGCTACCATGCAGGAGGATGCTGGCTCTCAGGAAAAACAGGAGCATGTGGAAGCAGACAGTGGCATGGCACAACCAGAGCTTCAGGCAATGCGATCGAGCGGTCAACTTGGGGAGGATGATGCTGCCAAGAAGATCCAGGCACTCGGGAGGGGCAGGAAGGTCAGGAAGGAGAAGAAGAAAGAGCAGGATGCGGCGGTCAAGATACAGGCTTTAGGAAGGGGAAACAAAGTCAGGACTGAGAAAAGGAAGAAAGAACAAGCCGCGGTGAAGATCCAGGCGCTTGCCCGAGGCAAGAGGACGAGATCGATCATCAAGACGTACGGCCCAGCAGCAGCTCGAGCTGCATTCTTGGACAGGCAGGCTCGCATAGAGGGGGGGATGAAGCCGAGCGACTTGGTGGAGAAGTCATCCAAGGACAAGATCAAGCAGCTGGCGGACGAGAAGGTAGTGGAGCAGGCCAAGACGTACTCGCAGGCAGCCTCCAAGGAGGAGATGGTCGCAGCAACTAAGATGCAGTCGCTCTACAGGGGGTTCAGAGATCGCAAGGCGATACACCAGAAGCGGGAGCAGGTGGAGGAAAGGGAGCGACTCAAGGCAGAGGAAGAGAAGCTCGAGGTGACTCAGGAGACCGAGAAAAAGCTGAACAAGCAGGCAGTGTTCGAACGAGGAGGCTCTCTCACCAGCTCCTACCTCACTCCCACTAAAGTCAGCCGAGTAGACGACAAGCAAGCACGAGGCTTGCAGTCTCGTGCCAACCTGTTGGCGATGCGAGGAGAGAGGAAGCAGCACACGCCGACGCTGGTGGACAAGAAGGCCAACATGAGCGCGTTGCAGAAGAAAGCTTGTGTCATGCTTGAAGACCTCATCCGCAAGTGGGCGACCAGCTACGCGCGGTCGGTTGAGCTGGCGGTTGTTTTGCTCCTGCAGTCGCTCTTGTTGCTGACCTGCATGCCAGGACGGGGCCCTGGGGACCGACAAGCTCGAGTTCGTCGCTCTCTTCTCCAAGCCCTCTAAGGAGGAGCCGATCGCCTGGCCTGTGGTCCGCGTCTACTTCACTGTAGCTGAAGACTTCGAGACTGCCCTCGTGCCCAACGTCAGGCAAGAGATCGAGAGAGGAGAGGAGAGGAGAGGAGAGGAGAGGAGAGGAGAGGAGAGGCGAGGAGAGGAGAGGAGAGGAGAGGAGAGGAGAGGAGAGGAGAGGAGAAGAATGATAGAGCTGCAGATACAACCTCGAAAATGAGAGGATGATCTTTCACTACAATACCGATCTCGGCAGGTTCGCCCCTTCGCCCCTCCCTCCCTCCTCCCTCCATCCCTCCTCCCTCCATCCCTTCTCGCCCCTGCTGTCCTCACACTGTGTTTGTTCCCCCCAGACGCTTCAAGGAGTCTTGGCTCGACCGCATCGTCATGGACAAGCGAGCGATCCGAGCGGACATGGCGCTGCGAAACAAGAGATGAGGGGGAGGTGTATGTACATACAATACGAGGACTGAGGAGGCAAGTTCATGCCCTGCTGGAGGGCAGCAGGAACGTCTTGAAGGGAGAGTAGCGCTTGCTGATCGAGATGGCATGCATCACATCCCTCACGCACTCCGGCACGAAGTCTTCGACGTCCCCTGCGCTCCCCACCTGCCTCCCAGCTCTCGAGCGAGGCTGCCGCGTCAACTTCTTCCGCATGACATGGACCGCCCGGTACACCCCGAGCAAGCTCTTCTTCTGCTCTTCCGCCATCCCCAGCAGATGCCGGTAAGCGCTGGCAGTCAAACTTGACTTGCCACCTGCTCGCCGACGGCGGTCAAGGCTGGTGAGGAGAGGAAAGAAGGAGATGTCTCGCTCCCGCAGCTGGGATCGTCAAGTCAGCGAGAGCTCTAGAGCATCGCATGCGCTACCTTGCCCAGCACGAACTCTTCCGACGCGCTCAGACTGTCGTGCCGGCGCTGCTTCTCGAGGATGCGGGAGAAGAAGAGGACGTAGAGCCACAAGCTGTGCCGGGCGAGGTGCTCGCTGAAGCTCTGCTCCTCTCCGGGGAAGCCGCGAGGGTCGAAGCTGTTCCTGTGCATGCCACAGATGAAGCAGGAGTCGAGGAGGAGGGAGGGCTGGATGGCCCGCGACTGCCGGAGAGACTTGTACAGGTCGATGATGAGCGAAGCGAAGATAAAGTAGAGGATCAACACCACCACCAGCCCGTAGAGCGCCGTGACTCCCTGCACAATGATCTCAGCAGCAGCAGCAGCAGAGAACAGCAGCAGCACCACCACCACCACCACCACCAGCCCAACATTGTCACGGTCTTACCAGGAAGATCCAAACTTTCGCCTTGTCCTCGCTGAAGATGCTTCCGCACTGTTGCACGTCCGAGTAGCCTGCCAACACTCGCTTCCATGCTGCTGTCTCGCACGTCCCCTCCGCCAGCTGCAGGCAGGCTCGCGCGGTCTCAGTGCCGTTGCAGGAGCAGCCGTACAAGGGAGGAGAAGGGCAGGGAGGAGGCCAGACAAGCGGCCCCAGCACTCTCCCAAGGTCAGCCCGTTGCAGCCCCAGCAGGATGGAGATGAGGGCGCTGAAACCGGCGGAAGCAGCGAAGTCGGTGCGGAGGTAGTTGGAGCAAGAGGAGGCCGAGGAGACGGGAAAGCTGAGGGAGCCAGCAAAGAAGAGGAAGAGGAAGGCGCCGAAGAGAGAGCAGACGGCTAAGGCGATGAGGCCGAGGAAGACGTAGACGTCCTTGTTCTTCCACGTCATCTTCGACATCTCCTGCACGAGATGAGATCGAACGAAGATCTCGAGCAGCAAGAGCGAAGACAAGAGCATCACTGCCTGGTTCGCATACGACACCGTCGCCTCCATGTAGAGCACCAGGAAGAGAGCGAGGAGCCGCCAGTACGCATGCTTCTGCTGGAATGAGTTGGCGGCGTTGAACGCTCGGAAGAAGCTGAAGAAGCGTTGAGGCAGGAGAGGATACGAGGAGGACTTGTTGCTGCCGGCACTGGAGGAGAGCGATGAGAAGTCGCTGCCGACCTTGCGGTAACAGAGGAGGAGGATGGTAACTTGCGCCTCTCCGCACAGAATCACCTCCATGATGGTCTGCACATGCAAGAAGAAGCTCGTCATGGCCTCTCGAGCCGCTTCGAGCATGCGAGGCTGATACGTCACTGCCGGAGCTCCGGTGTTGTCAGTGAGGATAAGCTTCTGACTGCATGACAATGAGCACGGAAAACGAGACAGCACAAAACAGTACAAGACAGTATAAGTGGGATCAACGTGAGAGGAAGATCGATGTAAGAGGAGGGGCTACCTGAAGTAGAGGAAGACGAGGAGGTTCAGCGCAAAGACATTGAGGAGGTAGAGATGCTTCGCGTACGGCCTGAGCTTGACCAGCACCAGGGTCACTCGATGGCTGAGCAGCAGCTGCTGGATCTCAGCCTCATGGTTGATGTCTGCCGTGCAGTCCAAGAGGAGGCGGAGTTGCATCATCTTATCCTCGTGTACCAACACCCTCTTGTACTTGTGTTTGATCTCTGCAGTCACAAACTGAGCGATGGACGGGAGTTGAAAGTGTTTGGTGATGGTATACAAGTGCTCGTCGCCTCGCAGTCTCCTCACGATCTCTACCCTCGCTATCCCTTGCTCGAAGAACTGATACGCCAGCAGCCTCTCGCCGAACAGCTCGACTTCCTCCTCCTCCTCGGGCCTCAGGTAACTTCGGAGGTCTTTCAGGAAGATGAAGTATTGAAAACCAGATGACAACATGACCCTCTCCGTCGACCTTCCCTGCCGCTCTTCCCCTTCCCCCTCCTGCTTCTCCTGCCGCCGCTGCTTCTCCCATGAGCGATACACGCGCACGCAATAGTTGAACGCGCCCCGCAGGTTGAGGATCGACATCATCGTCGTCGGAATCTGAGCCTCGCAGACGGCGTTCTCCTCCAGCAGAAGGATCAGCAGGTCTGCTATGCTCCTCTGCATCTCGAAGAAGTTCGCAGCCTCCTCCTCCCTCCGCTCCTCCTCCTCTGCCGGAGCTTCCAGCATGCAGTTGATCGCCTCGAACAGGTTGCTTCTCAAGATCAGCCGCACGTTGTCCGCCTGCGGCCCCTTGATCAGCGATCGCACTGCGAGGGTCGCCGACGTGACTAGGCTAAAGCTGATGCAGCTGAGGTCTCTGCTGAGCTCGGAGATGAGGTTGATAAGCTCGGACAACACGTCGCAGCTTGTCAACGACGTCGGCTGCTTGTGGAACATTCGCTGCATCGCCGGGCTTGACCCCTCGCACACCAGCCGGATGAAGTCGAGGGTCTCAGCCAGGGCTGAAAGCTCCACGTCCTCCTCCCCCCCCCTGGACTGCCGCTGCATGATCCACCGGCTGAGCTCTGCGTGCAGCGTCGGGAACACGAACCCGACCTCCGTCCTCTTCAAGTATCGCTCGCACTCCACCCGCAGCTGCGGCAGCGGACGTCGCAAGAGCGAGTTGAGGGTGCGGAGTGCCTGCTTGTGGTGCCTACCCGACGAGATGAGGTAGAGGAGCGAGGAGACCACCTGCCCGCAGCGCTCCCTTCTCAGCTCGTGCGGCGAGAGGCTCTCAAGGCATCGCAGGGTGATGATCATCAGACGCTGAAGCAGCTGGGGCTCCAGCTCGCTCCTTCTCACGTGCTTGAGGATGAAGTCGAGGTAGAGGCTCTGAGACGAGCCCTCCATGATCGGCTCAGCCTCTCGTCCTGCCATGAGCGCGGACAAGCGATGGATGAAGGAGCTCGCGAAGTCTGCGATCTTGGGCTTGAAGGTGGCCGAGGGGGCAGCAGCGCTCTCCGAGCTCAGCTCGGTATGCAGCTGGGTCTCGACGAGGAAGCGCGTGTGTTCGTTGAGCAGGGAGGGCTTGTCCTTGAGCTGCTTGAACAAGTCTCGGCACTCCCCCACCAGCGACTCCAGCTGATTCTGCCACAAGAAGGTGACGAGGCTCCCGCAGGCCCGCGTCAGGTCCCTCAGCGTCTTTGAGGGGAGGTCCTCGAGCTTGAGCAGCTGCAGCAGCCGCGAGGAGAGGCGGAGGAGAAGCTGAGAGAGGAGGAGGGACAAGGGAAGCGACTCCTGCGGGTGGCAGTAGCCATGGTTGGAGTTGTGCTTCAGCACCGCGGGCAGCATGCGACCAGTGTAGAGGAGCGTCCTCATGAGATGAGGGTCTGGCTTGCGATGCAGAGGCTCGTCGAGGTTGAGATGCACTTCGAGCACGAACCTGAGGACAGACACCTTGATGTCTGCCATGTAGATCTTGGAGACTATGAGATCGCAACAGACTTGACTGCTGATCATCGTCGCAAGCTCCTTCTTCATCTTGTGACTCCTCTTGCCCTTGCAGCACTCAGCAAGAACTTCGAAGGAGAAGATGGAATACATGAGCTGTAAAGACTGTAAGCAGCGATACAGCATAACTCCTCCCCCTCCCTCTCGTCTTTCACTTTGCAGTACCTGAGAGTCAAGGAGGAGGTTCTGATTCCACACCGGGTCGAAGAAAGAGGTTTGGTTCCATCGCTTGAAGCTCTCCACGTCCTCGACCGCCAGGCACTCGCGGCTACGGCACATGCTCTGCAGGCTCAGGATCTCGTTCTCGCTCCAAGGCAGGAAGAGCGTTTCTTCTCGCTGGAACTTGAGCAGGTTGAACGTCCGCGACTGGTTCTGCTTCACCTCGCGGCCGCCAGGGGAGAGGAGGGAGAGGAGGACCTTGAGGTAGGGAAACCTCCTCCCCTCCTGGTAGATGAGCGCTACCACCCGCTTGATCACGGTCTGGCCGAACCTGAGGCAGGCCTCGTAGCGATGACGGAAGAGGAGACAGAGAAGCGAGTCGAGGCGAAGGGGCAGACCTTGAGGACTTGCGAGGATGTCGAGGAGAAGGTCGACGTCTGTCAAGATGTCCATGGACGCTGAATCATTGCTGCTCGCGTACTCTAACAGCATGTCGATGCAAGTCTGTGCCAGAGAGTAGCCAGTCTGCTCCTCCTGCACCATCATACCAGCACATCAGCATCATACCACCATCATACCAGCATCATACCAGCATCATACCACCATCATACCAGCATCATACCAGCATCATACCAGCATCATACCAGCATCACATCAGCATCATACCAGCATCACATCAGCATCATACCAGCATCATACCAGCATCATACCAGCATCACATCAGCATCACATCAGCATCACATCAGCATCATACCAGCATCACATCAGCATCACATCAGCATAGTTTCCATCAGACTTGCCTTAGAGATTCCATTCTCCCACACCATCTTCACTGCTTTTACCGCTATCCTCCATACGCTCACGCTTGAGGTCGCGTGCTCCAGCACGGCCCTCGGGATCGTTTGGTTCTCGCAGACCTTCTCCTTCTGCCAGCCCATCAGCTCGCTCCCTCCCCCAAGCGCAGCACCATGAGCAGCAGCATCGACCGAAGCTCCGCCGCCTGAGCTGCGAACGCT